CGAAAGGTGGATCGTGGGTAAGACAATTGATTTTTTCGGAATTGCGGCGGCTTTCGTCACACCGTGGATCTGCGTATAAGCCACCACCGTCCACCGTCCACCAATCTGCAGACGGGGAGACCCGATATTGTACTGTACTAGGACGCCGACGTTGCAGTCTGCAATTTGTGATTTAGACTTATTTTTGGGACCACGTCCAAGACTTGAGACTTCGAGGCGGCTTTTGGTCTCGGAAAGAGAAGGATCCGGAGTAGAGGGATTGATAGTTCTAAAGCAAAGCATCGTGTTGTAGGTGAGTCCATTTCGATCCACAATGCCGTTTTTCTTGGAGACGTCAAGGACGTACCGTACAAGATTCTAGAGAAACATCAATCAACTAACGGTCCAAATATAGCCCACCTCACTGCGCCCCATCTTCGTCAACACCAATCTGCACTGCGTCATACCTGGGCACAGAGAGAGATAGCAGTACTGCACTCCACCCCCATCTTCTCGGCCTCTTCACCCATTCCGACACATTGTAGAACCCCGCCCAATCTCAACCCAGCAAACCAAACCAAATCAACCCATCAACATGTTCTTCTTCTCAACCCCAACCTCTCTCTTCCTCACAACAGCAACCCTCCTCCTCTCCTCACCAGCCCACGCAGCACCCACCCGAGCAAACTGCCACTGCACCCTCCTCTCCACCACCCCACCACCCGCCCAAAACACGCCTTCAACTTCCCAATCCACGCTCTCCAACTCATCGCCACCACCACTCTCCATAGCAGCCGATGTCTGCGCCGACCTCGGGCCCAAACTAGTTGCCTTCAGAGACAGCAAGCCGGAACTGTACGACGCGTATATCCGCCAGGCAGACGCGGATCCAAACGGCCTGTTCACAGCGCGCATCCCCACCACTGTTCTCCTCGCATTTGTGGCGCGCGCAACGGAGGCAAGGCAGCGGGGAGAAGAGGGCGAGGATGTGTCGCAGCCGCGGGAGAGAATTGTGTGTCGATCTGAGGCATGGGAAGAAATGGAGGGTTATCAAGATCTACTTCCGAATCTCTGGGTCTCCCAGATCATCATTGCTGTTGCCATATTGGCTTGTGTGGCAGAGGGAATTCATCTTGGTATGCGCTGGTACGTTGAACCTCCCCTTTTGCTTTCCTATAAACCTCCACACACACACACACACACACACACCCCGCTCACCCCAACTACAGGATATCCCAACGCTACAACAACAGCGCTTCTACCCCCCCATCCCCCCAAACACACAGACTCCACCTCCCCGGTAGCGAAAAAACACTCCTCGCTATCCCGCCCACCGACCCCTCCCTAGACTTCCTCGCGAGCCCTGGGTCAGAGAAGAAATCCCGCGCATACGAGACAATGCGCTTCCACGTGCAACAGTCGAGTGCCGGGCCCCGCCAGTTTATCGCGTATGATGACGAGGATGATGATGAGGCGAATAGGCCGGTGATGTGAAGAAGAGCTTGCTTGGAAGAGCTATATGACGAACCTTCTTGGGTGAATGCATGAATGAATTGGTTGTGCAATTGACTTCAGACTTTTGATTCTCCCCGAGTGAAACTAATGGCATTTCAGCAGTTTGCAGGGCTGAGACGTGCAGCGTAAGGTCTATTGTACATGCATCACTGTGTTTACCAGACCACATCCCCTTATCCTTCGATGCCTCCTATTCATCTTCTTCTCCCCGAGATTCCGCAGACCAAAGCAACCAGCTTCGCACCCTCGGATTTTACTCCTCGAGGCGGTCCTCGGCTTTACCCGAATTCAAATCCCAGGGATATAGTGGTTTCATCCCCTTTGCAAACGGCTCTCTTGAAAAGTCTATTCCGCTATTCGTACACTGCTTGTAGCATCGCTAGGCCTGAATCGGATCAGGTCTTCAGTGTGAAAGGAAAGAAAAGCAAATGGGGTATCGTAAAGCAGCGCACGCCAAGCAAATTCTATATACAATCAAACCGTAGCAATGTTTTGTCTAGGAAAGAAACAGAATTGCCGGGAATGGGGCATGTATCGCTAGGGATGGGTGCGAGGGTAGCTTGGAATCGTGGGCGTACGGTCGCATGGATAGAATGGGTGCCACAGATGGTAAATCTTGCATCTGCCTTACCTGGCCAGGAAAAGAAGTCTTCGGATCCTGTTGTACATGGGAGAGGAAGCGGGTGGGTGGGGGTGGGTTATGGTTGGCACTTGGAATATTGCGTTTGGAGTGTCGCTTTGGGCATCTTCGGTAGATGTCATGAACAAGGCGAGATCGCAAGAGGCTGTCGCAGCAGGGAACCGGAGAAGTGGGCCGTAGAAATGGTCGGTGGGGTGGGTACTAGGGGGAGTAGTGTTGTGGTATCAGGGTATCGCAGTGGGCTGATGGCAGCTGGGTGTCGGCCGACAAGGGTAATCGCAGGAGGTCGAGACAGAGCATCGCAGATGGTTGTCTCCATTAGGTGGGTTGTTGCGCCAGGCAACGGGTATTATCGCAATGGGCTATTGTAACAGGAGGTTGCAATAAGCCAGGGTCCACAAAGAACATCACCCGGATGCTGAACCAAGGTCTAGGTTGGAAGTTCGTACATTAAAGTTCGTAACGGATGGGAACTGAGAGCATAGCCGTACAGGTGAGGACCAGGAGCTGGCCCTCATTGGACGTGGCAGTTTTCCCAGCAAAGTTTGGAAACAAGTAATCGCTCGAGAACGCCGGTTATAGGAATAACGCCGAAGGTAGGAAGTAGAGAAGGACGTCGCAGTCGTGTCGTGCTCTATTAAATCAAGTTGAAGGTCACAAGAATGGAAGGTAGCGGCATTACATGAGGCAGTGCCAGCCTTTGTCGTTCATGACGTCGATCCAAAAGACCTCTTGCCCATTATCAGATTGCTTCCAGGTCTCCCTGACCAGTTGCATCATTTGGCGAAGAGGCTTTTTGGGTAATCGAAGCGCAAACTCCTGAAGACGGCTCATGGCAAAGTTTCGACTAGTCAAGACTTTGGCGTCGTTGGCATGTACATCGAAGAAGTCTACCGAGGACACGAATTTGAGTTCGGATGCGGCCACGACGAGAAGAAGCGGCTGCACACAAAAAGTGCCGGAAGAGGTGGGAAGAGCTTCGAGAGACTGCAGGATGTGCATTGCCAGCGAGTTGAGCCAGAGCTTTACGTCCGTGTCTTCATAACGTGTCTCGTATCTGGGGACCGGAAACTGGAAGTCCACGTTGCCGTGCCCCTGAAACTTTCCGGAGTTGAGGCGCCTTCGTAGTATCAAGGGAAACAGTCGGTAAATTTCGAGCAAGCCCGCGCATCGGTAGGCTTCAGCAAGCACCACGAAGTCTTCCTTTGGTGTTCGCTCATCGCCAGTGTCCGCAACCTCGTCAACTGAGGGGTACTCGACGGCAAGAAGATCTTCCTCCAACGAAGCAGCATTCTGAAGGTTTTCTTGTCTTCGCCGCACGTCCATGGTAGACTTCTTGTTCAGGGCGCACTCCCTGCGGACTAGGCGGCCGACCTCAGCAAAGAGAAATTGCACCATTGGCGCAATACCAGTCCATGGGTGGGGCACAATCTTCCCATCTGGCCTCCGAGTCGCAGGACTTTTCTTCTTTGAGACAATACGGGAACGCAGTCCTGAAGGAGGAGAGAAGCTCATGGTATCTTCGGTAACGAATCCCATCAACATCTCCCAATGGATCAGAGACTCCTCGAAAAATTGTGCCTCGCGCTGGACTTCGGCCTCTTCTGAGCGACTCAGGAGCTTGGGCAAGATTAAACTGCGAGCAGTGGACAGATACTCGGTACCAAGTGCGGTGCTATCGTGCCACGAGGTTGTGAGGCCAAGCAGCATGATGCTCAAAAATGTCTTGGTCGCACTGGCCTTTCCACTCTGTGCAAGCGGTAATTCTTCCTCCAAGGCATCGCGAGCTTTTTGTTGCAGCTCAATACCGATGCTGGCCATATTTGGAAATGTATTAGCCAGATGGGCTGCAGCCATAGACTGGATAGCGTAGTTGATAGATGGCGAGTCTCGGTAGATGCGGCCAATAGTAGTTCTGAAAGGATTAAGAACGGAATCGAAAGAAGAAAAAACAGCGCAAACGTCCTTGAAGTAATGCTGGATGAGGACAGACTCAATCTCGTCAGACGAGGTTGGGTCAGGAGCAGGACTCGGAAGACGGTAGAAGTCCAAAAGCAAGGAACGGGAAAGCCTAGGGCTAGATTCCTGAATGGTTTCCTGGGCTGAAAGGGGCAATGAAGAAGCTGTGAGGTCTTGTACTGGTGTGAAACTAGAGTCAAATGAAAGTTCGCCCAGCGATCTTGAGTCGAAATCTACATTCTCAAAAGCGTCAAAGTTGAAATCATCGTGGGGGAGTGGATTGGCATCGACCAAACCTTCCAAGGAGATGTGGTTCAATACGTCAACATCTTCCATAAGGAAGGGCTCAAAATCCCGGGGCGAATCACTGTCCTCGGTCGACGTCTCTTGAGCAGAGATGGCTTCGTCGAGGTCTGGCGGCGATGTGATGACGGGCGTGGGCTCTTTCCGCCGAACAGACTCGCTGACACTGCTTACAGGAAGTACAGCAGCTAATGCTTCGATTCCAGTGGCAACGTTCTTTGGAAGATTCGGCTCGCCAGATGGTGGCTGGCTTGTGACTTCGGGTAAGGATGTTTGCTTGGCCAGCGATGGCTTGTCCTGTGGAGGGGTAAAGACTTCATACTTGGTCGACCACTTGAGCGTCTTCTCATAGCCTGGGCAGGCTACCTTTCTCTTCTTGCACTGGAGGCATCCGGGAGCAGTCTCGTCGCATTTGAGCTGTGTCGACGTCAGCGAGGTGGCAAGGTGATGGACAGGCGCACTTGGATCGTTACCCTTTTCAGCTTGCATCGGCCACAACCATTCCTGGACTTGGTCTTCTTTGCCTTGGTCTCTCTTTGTATAGTCTTCTCCTGGGCCGATGCGGACATGACGAGTTGCAAGGAAGAGCAACGCAGATCCGAGGAGGTCGAACGATGCTGGAGTGACGGCCGATGCAAGACGACGAGAAACTTGTATTATGGCTGCGGGTCCGAGAATCAAGCAGATGCGAGTCGTGTGGGAATGATGCGTGTGACAGTGGATGACACAGCCGATAAACCCATTGCCTATCAAGCAGGGGCCGAGATAGCAGCTGATAAAAAATAGTTTCGCCTTGGGTGTGATGGAAGGCCAGGCAGGTCTGCCTAGACCCCGAATTTCGGCCCTTCACTGACCTGGACTTTCCATGTCTTGCTTTGTCGTCTGCATCAGCAGACAACTGATTGGCCAACCATGGCCGTCCTCACTTGCCATGGCCACTGCTACGACCCCCTATGGGAGGACGCCTGGTTTCCGCAAAAGTTGGACACGTGACGGAATGTCCATCCGCATCACCTCGAGATGGTCTCGACGGGCGCCTGGTGAAGGAGGAGGTTGGTGAAGGAGGGCGATGAAGATGTTGAGAGGTGACGATAGTGTTGGATCGAGGGCTTACCCCACATTCACTCGAAAGCGGGATAAGGTTTTTGGTGGACTGCATGTCTGTATACGGACTAGTGGCGCTAAGTTAAGCGATTGGGCTAGCAGCATCTTTGTGCTTTGCCCGATGGGTAACTTCACTCCAACATAAAAGGAAGAGAAGACACTGATCGCTACCAACATCATCATCATCAACATCATCATCATGACGAGGTCCAACGCATCTTCGTTCTCATCTTCTGCGAGCGATAGCTGGTAGTCTCACATGAGCACGCCTGAAGAAAGGCGGCGGATGTGGAAACGCTGTGAACGGCCCTTATCGCTACACACCGCCTACTACCTAGACAGAGTATGATAGTAGTAGACGCTTTTTTGTTTGTTGGCTTATCAGCACCAACTTTAGCTCGAGGCGACTCAGCGCAGACGGATACTAAATTCCACCAACTTGACATGTACAACTGTGTCTACTTGGGCCGCAGCCTTTCGGCCGTTGAGTCGTGCGCGTGGTTCATTCCCAGACCGCCACGACGACAACAAAGTGGAGGCACGGTGACGAAGCATGCGTCCGACTTCGCCATGCAACCCTCTTAAGCAGTTTGCGACGGAGAGAGGTTGCATGGCTGCATTACTGCATCCTGCGTAATTCTACCCCCGCGACCTACCTTTGTGGGAGAAGAGAGTGGAGATGCCGCTCCCGTTGTGTACGAAACCTGGGGTAATGAACGGGAAACTGGTTCCAATGGTACGCTATGAGTAATGCCAAGCCTGTGATCACGATGTCAACAACCTTCCTTGTACCGTACAGGAGGCCGGCTGTCAGACAACGCATGAAAGGCAAGATGACCGTCGGGAAACGGCGCACCTGCCAACGAATCTTCAAAGTGAATGTGCTTCGAGAATAGAGCACTAATTCTCATGGTAGTGAACGCTTGACAGTCTTCACTGCTTTGGCCTTATGCAGTAGATCGTTTTAGCGGGCTTCCACATCCTACACAGCACATGTTCCCAAATAGCATGCGGTCTGGCCGCTTTCCTACGGGGCTATAGACCTGCGACTTGTCTGGACCGCGCTGGATACAGGCTCCCGATTCCTTCATCCGTGCAAAAGTGATGCTAGACCCTAATCTCGACACAAGAACGAAGCGGAGCAACACTGCTCGACCAAGAAGGGGAAAGGTGAACTATTCAGCCACAAAGGCTATTTACTCCCCTAGTACCATTACCCACCCACCACACCCGTCCCAACCCTGCATTCCCCAAAGCCTCTACCAGAAGCCAGGCTGACGGGAGAACCAAGATGGCCACGGAATCCATGGCAAACACCATGTCTAGCCGGGTAATCCCACAAAAACTTACCATATGCTCCGTCCAAACTCTACCACAAGCGAGGACGTGGCTGCATCACAGGGCTCACGATGCACCACGATACCAAACTCGCGAGCCATGTGAGTTCAGCTCGACGCAATAGACATACGTCTCCTCATCACCAAAAACTCTCCCCCCCCATCCCTACAAGTGTCGTGTCAATTCCATCACGCCCAAGGGATCACGCACGCATCTGTTCACGAGTAATTTCAAAATCTTCAATGCGCATACTTGTATGACAGTTATCATTTGCCAGGGTATCTCGCTACAAGTACTTTTTTTTCCCAGTCGCAGAAACTAAATCGTGAAAAAATAATCGATGAAATCAAACAAGCTCTCACATGACCATTACACAACCCCTCCCAAATCTTCATTAGCATCTTACAAGACAAGGAACCCAGCAACAACCGAAACAAGAACAGTCATTCCAGCGCCAAAACGGCTAGCCGCGCCTTCGAACTCAGGAGGCGCGAAGGACGTGGGCTTGGCAGGCTTGCCAGTACCAGTGGGCAGAGGGGCGTAAGCACTGGTGCCGTTCGCTATACCAACAGCAGCGTAGGGAGCAAGAGAGGGCGCAGAAGGATAAGGAACGGGAACGGATGCGGTAACGACGGCGACCTTGCTCAAGGTTACGTGTTGGATAAGGCTGCTGGTAAGAGTGCTGGTGACATCCTCAACAGGCTTCTTCGGGTACTCGGGGACACCGGGCTGGGCTGGGTACTCAGGAGCCTCGGAAGAGACTGGGTATGCTACCGACTTTGTGGCAGTGGCGACGTTTGGTTCCTCAGGTATGCTTGGGTACTCCTCCTTGACGACAGGCGCGGAAGGCTTGGGCACAGCTGGGATCTCAGGCATACTTGGGTATTCCTGCTTGTTGACTGGCACCGAAGGAATAGGTACAGCTGGATAGTCGACTGTAGGGGAAGCGGTAGGATATGCAGGGGTATCAGTAGGAGTGTTAACAGGTTTAGTTAGGGTGATCGTGACGGTCTCATCAACATAAACACTGGTCGTCCAGCCTTCGGGATACTCAGCCTGCGGAGTAGAGTGCGCGCACTTGCCACAAAACGTCTTGGTAATGACAGTGGTGACGGTGGTCAAACCGGTAGGACAAACATCAACGTATGTCGTGGTGACAACAGTAGTCGTGGTACCGGTTGGATAGCTTGATTCTTCTTCCGATCCCTTGGTGATAGAAGGAATGCTTTCGTTGTCCGTTCCAGAGCTCGAAGTAGCGTATTCGGAGCTCTCAGCTGGGTACGGGTATGCAATAGATGAGCTCTTTATAGGATAAGCTTCGCTCGAGGTGCTGCAAGATGTAGACGAGGCAGCGTCAGACGTCGTCTCGGACTGGCTCTGGTACTCGCTCAGGTATGGAGTCGACGATGCAGAGGGATAGATATTGCTAGAGGAGACATTCGTAGGATAGCTGTCAGGGTAGACGATACTAGCGCTGCTGGATGAGTAGACTTTGCTGGAGCTTTCTGTCGGAAGAGGAATCTGAACCGAGCCGGAAGGAACGACGTATACCGATGAAGGCTCAACATTGCTGGGGGCGACGCTCGTCGTAGGGTGAATAGAAGACTCAACATTGCTCGGGGCGACGCTTGTCGTAGGGTACATAGAAGAGTCAACATTGCTGGGGTATACGCTCGCCGTAGGGTGAAGAGAAGACTCAACATTGCTGGGAGCGACGCTCGTCGTAGGGTACATAGACGACTCAACATTGCTCGGGGCGACGCTGGTCGTAGAGTACATAGAAGAGTCCTCTACGGTGGAAGATACGATGTTGAAAGAAGAGGTGGTGCTGCTGGAAAGATCCTCGGAAGATGCTACAACACTGCTGCTGGGTACATGAACACTAGAGACAGAGCTCGATGTGACAAGGACACTGGATGGGACCATGGTGCTCGAGGGAACCTGGATGCTGGCGGAAGCCTTTGTGCTTGACGGAACATGCATGCTAGACGAGGGTTTGGTGCTTGAAGAAAGTGTGGTACTGGAAGCGACAGTGCTGGATGAGACCTTGGTGCTAGAAGACAAGCTGGAGCTGGAGGAGATCTTTGTGCTAGAAGAGACCACCGCGCTAGACGAGACAGCACAGGCAGCTTGCGTATGCTTCTGTGCAAACGACCCCTCCAGCGACGTCTTGGCCCAGTAACCAAAGGACTTGCAGAACTCGGGGTTTCGGACGGAAACGGTAGCCTCCCACAGCATCACGCCTCCAAAGTTGGCGTTGTTTTTGTATCTGTTGATCAGGTAGTCGGCCTCTGTTGGATTGAGGTAGTGGTCCTTGTGTGTCGGAAGACCGTCTGGTCCAGCAGGCAGACCCATGTAGAGCTTTACCTGCTTGTTGGCAGACTCCTTGGCCAACCAATCGAGCCAGGCCTGAAAGGTGAAAGTGGTGGTCTTGGTAGTAGCACCGGCCTTGAGATCCTTGTATCCTTTCGCTGCAGAGCATTCGTAGGTGTTGTAGAACTGGGCAAAGATGAAGTCAAAGGGCACAGCCTTCAATGCCGGAGCGATGCGTGCATCAGGAATAACGCATTGAGGGGCGGCTGATAGAAGCATGCTAGAACGTGTCTTGATACGCCTTGCAAAGACGTCGTAGTTCTTGTAGAGCAGATCCGCGGCTCCAGTCGCCCACTCCTCAGCCTCAAGATCAAGATCGAAACCATCCACGACGGCGCTACCGAATGGGCGAGGCTTGCCGTTCCAGTCACTGGAGACAGGACCATAGGCACCAATGAGGAAATCCGCAAAGTAGTTGGCGACATCTACAGTAGGTAGACTATAATTCACGGGGTACCCACCACCAAGGGAGAGCATGACCTTCTTGCCAGCAGCCTGGCAGTCTTTGATCGCTTGTTCAACGCCGGGACAAGTCCTCAGCAGCTTGCTAGGCTGCCCAGTCTTGGGATCGGGGTAGTAGTCGGCTTGGCAGGCATTGGCTTCGCAAAAGGGTCAGTGAGTAGTCCTGTGTGAAGATACTAATTCCATACCATGGTTCGTCCCTGGGTAATCGCCACGAGTCTTGGGAAACGCGTTGACAAAACCAATGTTGACGATGTCGATACCTGGATCTGTGCAGACCTGGGATAGGGGAATTTGGTCGGAACCTTGTCCCCAGTAGACAGCGACGTTTTTGTTGGAATTGCTGTCAAACTTGGCGGAAACGGTCGAAGTGAGCAATCCCACTGCAATAGCAGCGCGAGAAAAGAGGGAGAGGGACATGATTAGTCAATTAAGGGGGTAGAAAAACTACAAGAATGAATGATAGGACGGCGGAGAGCCTGTAAAGATTGTGATGAGTTGAACTCAACGAAAGGACGCAAGCAAAGATGCTGCAAATTAGATGGATGCTCGCGAACAAAAGTGACTGAGGTTCAACTCGAAAGCTGTGCGGTCTACGATACAAAGTCATGGGAGATTACCATATATCTAGGCCACCTTGAGCAGATGCGGTACCTGCATGGTGTGTCGGGGACTTGACGAATTGACCCTGCCGTTTGTTGGCATGAAGCCTTCTGGCAGGATGAGACGGTACAGGAGCATGGTGCCATAGTCAGACGCAGGAACAGAGAATAGCCTGTCTTCTGACTATGTCATTGGTGGAGATTCTCATCGACTAACTGTATGTGGTGGTTAGGATCCCAAGGCGTCCAGCAGCACCAGTCTGGCGAGCGCTAAACCTAGACATGGCGTCCATAGCATGCTTTGGAGCATGGCTTCTGATCTAGAAATCTTGACCGGTCACCGTGCCGTGCTTGAGTATCGATAAGATCATCTCGGTTAAAGACAGAGAGTGCGCAGAAGCCAGTCATCGCGTGGAAGAAGCATCTTGGTATGAAGTCGAGACTGGGTCTCCGGACGAACGGTTAGGGGTCTCCAGCGCTGTCAGTGAGCTTATTTGGTCCGCGCAGAACCTTGACCCGTCTCCAAGGCATGAAGCTAAACGTGCAATATCACTTCAGATATTGCGGCGCTGTCACCTGTCGATGGGACTCCAGGCGGTAGTTGCGTTTTACTCGTGAGAGATGCTGAGTAGACACGCTAAACTGGAACCGTGGAGGATAGTGGCTGCCTGGGAAAATGTTCATGGCAGCATGGACGACGTGGTTTCATCCGGGCGGGACATGGTGGTAGAGTAGAGGATTGAAAAGCACGAAGTTGGCTGTACCTACCGGTGCCGCGGCTTAGCGTACCGGTATCAGGGGTCGGACTGTCCAACTTGGGTCGACAACCTCCGCCATCTTATCCCATGTGATGGATTCTAGAACGTTTGTGGATCTGTGGCATCGATGGTTGCGATGGCTACGATGGCTGCGATGTGAACAGAAGGAATTCGAGGCAGGTATGATAGGTATTCCTCAAGCTTCTCGTACCTATACAACGTCTTCTCGTAACTGCTGGACCCGTTAGTAGGCGCCCTGCCTCTACCCATGCTGCACGAAGCAATTTCCGATGGGAGACAAGCCAAACGATGTGGGTCTAGCGTCACATCCAGATGGATGTACAGGCTCGACCAGCCTTGCGAACCCCTAGGGACCGGTATAGGTAGTGTACACAACATGTACGCGCTGGATGCCGTAAAGGTATATTCTCCATGTCGCGTAAATAGCTCATCACTACATCACGCGCCAGGTCCGCCTAGGGATGATGTGGGAGATTCCAGTATTGAGTGGGCGCCTGACGACTGTGAAGAACTTGACGATACTCTATTTCGACTGTGGAGGATATTTAAGGCTGAAGGTCTAGGAGAGGAGCGTACCGGTGCCTACCTATACATAGTATGTTGAGGATAACGTTGTAAGAGGATCTAGGACCCACCTTTGAAAATCGGAGATTAACTAGTCTTCGTATTGGCATCCTCCCACGACCCAGAAATGATGTGTAGGTACTTGTAGGCGCGCGGAAATATTTATGATGGGTACCGTATCCGTCGCCGATCTTTCTCCAAAAGGGCTGTCGCGCAATAGCTTCACGAGCTCTTGATTCAACGTCGAACTGGCCGTAATGCTATGGATGTATTTTTGTTTATGGGTAGGTTACCAGAGAAGAAGGCCGATGCAGATGGCGCGTGAACTCTTTCGAGGTTACAGTGTGGGCAAGACGGTTGGTTGAGGATAGGAGAAGAGGGTTGTGTCACGTGGGCATTCTGCACGAGGCTGCTTAGTCACGACTTATTCACTCGAACGCTGCGTGTGGGATTAGCAGATTATGCTCACGTGCCCATTTGGTGATTTTCTGATGACGATAGTGTTAGATTATCCTGCAAGTACGAGTGTGACCAATGGAGCGAAAGACATGTCCTGTCCAGTATGTAGACCTTGCTTCCAGTGAGCATGATGGCTATCTATGGTCCCTGGATTGCGGTACTTGTCGTTGGGTACCGGTAGTGTCGACGTGCTCTCTGTCAGTCAGCATGACTTTCTACAATTCCTTCACAGGCGCAATGGCCAGGATAACAGGTGGATTTGCACTGCATGCTACAAGACGACATCCTTGGAAAGTTGGGGCGATGGATGCTGTAGGTGCATGTACGATCGAGGGGAAGCGGGTAGTGGTACCCAGTACCTACCCTACCTACATACTACCGGTACATGCCGCCACGAGGACGCTAGACATGACTGGCAGCTGTAGCGACGTCTTGTCTTCGCATCCAGATTTTGGTTACCTAGGTTGTCAGAAGTCGAATGGATGGGTGGGTGGGTATGTGAGAAAGCACACCAGGACAGACTGATTGCTGTTGGAGTCGAGTCCCAAACATGGGTTCCATGTATGTTCAGTCGATTTTCAGGTACCGGGAGGAGGAGAGTACATAACACAGTTGAACAAGAGTCACGTGAGAGAGTCTGTTCAGCAATCTTCCGTAACGTCACTGTGCCTGAGAGTTCGCTAGGTAGGCAACGGCCGCCCCGGGCCGGGCCCTCTTCGCTGGTTCAGCGAGTGGACAGTGGACTGCCATGGCTGATTGGAAGGCTCATGGACTTGTTGGACAAAACAAGGACAGATACTGAACCAAGGGTAGGTAGTCAAGACATGGAGACGGGCACGGTATATCTATGGTACATGGCATCGACGAGGACGGAGAACATCCATGGGTACATGTCACACATGTCCTACCGTACCTACCGAACCTACTCTGATACTGCAACCCCCATGGCGGCTTCATCTCGCAGCATCTCGCAGCATCTCCGCAGCCTTTTGCTTGAACGCTATGTACCCTACCTAATCCACCGGTACCTACTTGTCGCGAGTTCCCAGTCCCACTTTGGCTGAGGGTGGGCGAGCCGCGAGCCATGACCGCATGTGCATTAGACAACAAGCGATGATGAGCTGGCACTTCTCCCCCCCCCCCCCCCTCCCCCCCTGGGCCATCCCCCTCCACCCCCCAATTTCTCTAAAACGCCCACAGGTGTCACTTTAAAGCAAACTTCTGGATGGCTCCCACCTGGGCCCTGGCCACCTCCCACCGCCCAAACCCTTTTTGTCCCTGATCCG